TAAGTACAACTTATTAAAGCTTCATATCTGAATTCGTGTAACTAATTGCAGATAAACATAATCAAATACATGATAAATATCTCATTTTAAATATAAAAAATAATTAGGATAATCATCGAGTCTGACAGAATACTTAATTATTATCTTTATAAAATGTTATATTATTAAACCAAAAATAAATTATTTCATTATTAAACTTAAATTAAATAATAATAAAAAAATCAATTAAAGAAATTACATAAAAAATGAAAACTTTTAAATAGTTGATTTGATATTAACGTTGATATATTTTTTTCATATTTATATTTTATTTAAAAAAATTATTATTCCTTTCTTAAAAACACATAAAATCGTATTATAACATTGACAGAGATAAAAAAATAAAATAGAACATTAAAATCGATATGTACCATATTGCATTATGCGAATACCTTCTACTAATTTTATAATTAAAAACGTAAAACCACAAGTTGAAGATACTGGATTACTAGAGATATAAATTCCAATACGAAACGTAAGTAAAATTGCTTAAATTTAAATAAAAAAATTCATATTTAAATAAAAGCAACTTCTGTTTTATTTTTATTTTTATTTTTTTAAAAACTGATGATTTGAATTATTTTTTTAAAAACTGATGTTTTATTTTTATTTTTTTATTTTACAATATTATGTTTTATTTTTATTGTAATCTTTTTATTGATAGTCTACAACTTTGAGCTTATAAGAAACTTACAGATCAATTTTTATTTCTGTGTGAAATGGGTTGTTACAGATATTCTATTTCGCAAATACTGACAATGTTAACCATCGATTTTCATAATATATAACACCCCCAATTCGGACCTAAGGTGTAAATATAGGATCAAACGAGGGGTTGAACTTGTATTATGAGAACAAAAAGAGTCAAGGGTTGGATGGTAATTACAAATAGGAGGGCCTAAATGTAAATAAAATATGTCCAATTAACGTAAATTGGTTTCAAGGTCGCCAAAGTAGGCAACTGTATACAGGAAGAAGTTATACTGGAATTAGGATCCTACTTCGAGAGAACTGCAACTGCTAAATGTAACAACATGTATTACAACACATTTGAGCATTCGCAGATCTAATGTGTGACATTCATTTTATGTATTAAACTGAATAAGACAAAGCTTATTTAAATGTTTTACTTCAAATTTGGTCTTCAACTTCAAATTTTGAGTCTATTAGAGAAAGTCTTCTCCAATTGCTGATATCTTCTTCATTTGCTTTTATATAAGTTGCTTAACCCACTTGCTTTGCAGATAGCCCGGAGTCACCGCATTTGAACCTCCGTAGCCACAAGGGGATTTTTATTTCTCCTTGGATTTGAACATGAGACTTTCTGATACTTTTGATCTTTGGAGCCAAGCTCAAACCAATCAGACACCACCCTTGTGGTTACCTTAAATGGTTTTGGATCACTTGGTTGAGAAACTTATCAACTGATCGCTAGATCGAGTAGTGATCCCCTCTCAGGTCTTTAGTTGCTTTAGATGTTGAATGGTTGCACTATTCAGCTGTTGATCCTTCACAAATGAATACTATTTGTTTTCTTACTTATATAATCACATGTAATTGACTGTTAAATCACATGTGATATAGGTATTCTTGTGTTTTCCTACTGTGATCATTTCTCTTTTGAACTTGCGCTTTCTCTCTCTCTCTCTCTCTCTCTCTATATATATATATATACACACACACACACACACACATACAGTCTTATTGTAGTTTATGCATTGTCTTGTTCGGTTCATGAACATGAGTCATAGGTTCGTGAACCACTGGTTTTTGGTAACAGTAACTTTTAGAGTTATTAATTCTTAATATCAATCTTAAAATTCAAGGTATTTAACGAAAAATAGAGTAAGAAAACAGATAAATAATTTTATAAGTTAAGCAGTTAATTTCGACAATGCATCAATACCTTTTTTTTTAATGTTCATTAATTGAATCATTGACAATATCTTAGTTAAATATGACAAAAGAAAATTAGGTATCATTTATATCAAATAAATTCTCTTGAAACCAATGGTTTGTCAAAATTAATATTTCCAACTACATGGCATTTATGCCACAATTCATCCCATACTAATACAAGTTGAGATTTTTGAGTTAGGTACGTTTACCTAAATATTTATCCAGTAAGTGCTTATTATTAGAAGTTAATACTGTAATTTATTTTATCGGGTAAGATTATATATAACAATTTACCGGTAAGCGTTTACTCGGGTAAGAGTCATCACCCTCACTTACCGAGTAAAACTCTTCATCTTCATCATTGCTCTTACCGGGTAAGATTTCTGACTCTTGTCATGTTTATCCGGTAAGGAAAATTACCTAGTAAGCACTTACCGGGTAAGCATTTAGGGGCCGTTTATTAAACGCTTACTCGGTAAGTGTTTATCGAGTAATTTTTCTCATTGGAGGAACATGACAAGGACCAAGAATCTTACCTGGTAAGAGCGATGATAAGGATGAAGAGTCTTATCCGGTAAGTGTGGGTGATGACTCTTACCCGGATAAGTGCTTACCGGGTAAATTGTTGCACAGAATACCGTTTTGATGTATTACAATCTTATCCGATAAAAGTAAATTATAATGTTGATTCCTACCGGTAAGTGCTTACCGAGTAAGCATTTGGGTAAACGGCCCCTTAGTTTCTTGATAACTCTCATTTTAAATGTTATTTATATATCGTTTGTGTGTATATTTTTTTCTTTTCTTTTTTAGTGTGTGTTTTCCATGTATGTGTTCATGTTTATCCCTTTTCTTTTTTTTTCATTTGTAGTTATTGAGGATAAAAGTTTGTATTTTGATGGTTGGATACATCATTTTTTTTTTGTTAAATGTTGAACTGCGGAAATTGGCCACTTTGTTTGCCACTATGTTGAGCAACGTGAATCCGAGGACAGCTGAAAGATTATCATTTTTTGCATGTTTTCTTCTGCTTTTTTTAACTGCATAACGACATTCTTAAAAGTAAAACTCTAAAAAGTAAAAGCAAAATCTTGGTGGAAAGATGTGTATGCCTAAAAATGCCTACCTAAAGGCTTAAATGAGAGAAAAGCTCTAACTATTCCTTTTTGTATCTTATTTTTTTAGATAGTTGTAGTTGTAGTTTATTTCTAATTATGTAATTTTCAGCATTATTTACCACTGTGACGACATAAGTGGTGACAGTTTTTAGTTTATTTATCAATTCAAGCAATCTTTAAGTATTCTTCTTCTTCTTCTATTATGTTATTTACTTTCAGTATTAGCTAAGCATCCCTTTAGGTGTGGGTGTGAGCAAAAGCTTAGAGTAGTAGAGTGTTATCATTTTTATTAACTTTTAAATTTGATCACTTGAGTCAGGATTTTAATTCAATGCTTACAAGTCGATCACTTATAAGTGTTAATATTAGAGCATCTGGAACGCTAAGGTCTTTTGCCAGCTCACCTGGATCGAGAACCGATCCATATTTTTTAGAACTATCAATAGAGTAAGGTTTAGGCATGGGAATTGGCCCCGACCCGTTGGGGAACCCGGTCCGCCCACCCTGGTCGAGGACGGGGACGTGGATTCCCGTTTGGCTCAAACCGGGGATGGGGATGGGGACGGGTATCGCACTCCGGCCCCGACCCGTACCCATACATATATTAATTAATAAATTATAATATATGTTATTTATTTCTATTAAATCAGTAAATAGTAATTTTTATTTCAATATATTTTGGATATTACTAAATGTGTTTTTGGATATTACTCGATATGTTTTAGTACATGTGATAATTTTTTTTAGATTAAATTTAATTTCTGTTGGTTTTCAATTTATTAATTATTATATGATAACGTATATTTTTTGTATTAAATTAATTTTTTTTTTATTTTAGATTTATTGAAAAAATGTGAGACTTAAACATGTGTAATGACTCATACATTTGATTTAATAAAAACTTATACAAACAGGAAAAAAAAATCCTCATTTCCTCGTTAGAGACGAGAATACAGGTGTAATCAAATTCCGTGATGGGGCCGGAAATTGGGGTCCCCGTTTCGTCCCCGCCCTATTAGCATACCTAGTAAGGTTTATAAGCCATGTCATCTGAGTAGTCCCTCTATAAGAAGTCTAAAATTGTGGGTCCCACATATTTTGTGTATGTTAAAAAATCAAACTTCATATACTTCAATACCATTTACACGGCTTTGTTATCTATTTTATATTTTTGATATATAATCAATTTAAAAAAAGAATTAAATTAAAACAAAATTAAAAATTGCATTTATTTATTTATTGATTTGATAAATAACACGTTTTTATTAAGAAATAAAATTGTAAGCAAAAACAAATATCATGTTATTACAATAATTTTTAAAAGAAAAAAAAAACAAAAAGGAAAGAGAGAAGAGAGAGAAGGGTGACAAATCCGTGAATTCATGGTGGTCTAAGGGCAAATCAGTCATTTAGTTAATAATATATAAACATTCAGCAGTTCGCTTCCCAAAACTTCTCTCTCAGTCCAAAGACCGCCTCTCTCTCTCTCTCTCTCAAGGATTTTATCGAACACCTTGTCTGCGTCTCACCACCGCCGTTATCTCGCCGGAACAGTAATCCTCCGGCCACGAAGACGTCAATCAAGACTCTTAGGAAGCCAATAGATTCTATTTATTATCTTGGTGACAGAATCGGGAACGTAATATGTGGCGGCGGAGACGGAGGTTGGTTAAGTAATTGATTCTTGAAGAAAGTAACGGTAATAAGATAGATGGGGAAGGTAGGACTAGGTTTGGCAGTGGGGTGTGCGGTTGCGAGCTGTGCGATCGCGGCGGTGATGGTGGGGAGGAGAGTAAGGAGTAGGAGGCGGTGGTGGGGGGTAGTTAGGGTGTTTGATGAGTTTGAAGAGGCGGCGTCGACACCGGTCGGAAGGTTAAGACAAGTGGTTGATGCTATGGCTGTCGAGATGCACGCTGGTTTAGCCTCTGAAGGTGGTAGTAAGCTTAAGATGTTACTCACCTTTGTCGACAACCTCCCTGACGGGTCCGTATAACCATCAGCACTTATATTGTATATAGATACTTATACTATGCTCTAAGACTCGTATGTTCGTGATTTTTCATAGTTGGGTTATAATGTTTTTGCTCCAAGTTAATTTTCTTGTGCAAAAATAGCATCCTCTGTTGCTAATTGATTGATTTTCGATTCTTCATACTTTGGGTTACTATTCGTTAGTCTACCAGATCCTCAATTTCAACTATTTATTTTGCTAATGTTGCTGCTGTAGGCTAATGTATCATTTTTGTGGGTATTTTGGTGTCATTGTAGTCTTCTGTTAAAATATCAAATCTGATCATTTTTTGATGCTGCTTGCGTCTCTGTGTATTGACTTGGTTTGTTGCAGAATTGGTCTTGTTTTATGTGTTTATTATTTGTTTTTTGGTAAGGACTCTTGGTGTGATGTATTTTGATTGAAGTTAGGGTAGTATTTGGTAAGAAAATTTCGAATATTTTTCCATCTAGAAGCTCTATTCAAATCTTCATGAAACTTTTGGTTTGAATCAGTCTTTATAAAAATATATCTTGTTTGAACTAATCTTTAAGACCTTATTTCTAGTAATTTGATGTGAACCACTTGCCAGCTGATGGGTTAAATCATCATCCTGATCCTGTGTGTTTCACTGCTTCTCTGGCATGGGGTTATTGTGAAGTGATTCTTCTTTGTTTTTTCTATGTGTTAATTCTTGTTTACAATAATTTTGAAGAAAATTCAAGGCTGTCAAAAAATTGGGGCTTCAATCATAAAGCCTCCACTTTTTGAAAATTGTAACGACAAAATGGGATAAGACTTTTAACTGGACAAGAGATACTATATTTGAAGCACCATTATAATGAACAACTATATTTTCCGATGCTATTGTTGTGTTCACATCAGGCAGTGAATGGATTTATTAAGTGAAGATATTTGCAATGGTCATAAGCATTTATGTCATTGAGCTTTGGAGATGCTTATATATGTAATTGCTTTATAGATGGTAATTAAAGATTGCATGCTTGTAAGGCAATTTACTTGTATTATATATTTAGTAAATATTGTTGAAGTAGATGGCCTATTTTGGTTTATCAGGAGCGAGAACGGAATATATTATGCCCTACATGTCGGAGGCACCAATTTTAGGCTTCTTAGGATTCAGCTTGGTGGCCAGAGGGCTATCCTTGAGTATGACGTTGAGCGGGAACTAATTCCACAACATTTGATGACCAGCACAAGCGAGGTGTCCAGGCTTATACACAACATCCTCTACTTCTATTCTGCATGAATTTGAAATTCTACTTTTGCAGGCTTATGTGAATTGATGTGATGTTTCTTCCGGAATATCGATGTTTGCAGGAACTATTTGATTTCATTGCTTTGTCCTTGAAGGAATTTGTTGAAAGGAAGGGAAACAATTTGCAGATTCCACAAGTTAGAGGGACGAATCTTGGATTGACATTCTCATTTCCTGTCAAACAGATGTCTGTCTCATCAGGCACTTTGATCAAATGGACTAAAGGGTTTGCCATTGAAGACATGGTTAGTTTGGCAACACTACAGGACTATGTACCAGTCAATTGTCAAACTTCAATATGACACCAGTAACAATGTAGAAGGCATGTTTAAAATTGCTGCAAAAGTGCAGTTAATAACGTAATTTTTGTACTTTTCCGGAGAGCATACATACAACTATATCGCTTATTATATTACAGCAGCTGTATCTTTTCTATCAAAAAAATTCGGGCTTGTTTGAAGTGATTCAGCTTGCTCGTTCACCCTGCCGTTGGCCCGTTGCTCAGTGTTTATGCTCAGCACAAACAAGTTGAAGTGTTATTATATGCCTGGATAGACGATTATGTGATATCATTATAGGGAATCCTTGGGTCCTGATCTGGGTCTTTTAAACCTACTAATAAGTGAAAAAAGTTGCACCTCTGTTGAATGCAAAATAAATTATGTTGAGGGGATATATATGGTGTCACTGGGTAGTTAAAATGTGTTATGCGACTCTCATCATGTGTCTGATACAAGGTGCGTATTGTTTCAGATTGGAAAAGACATTGTTGAATGTCTGCAAAGGGCGTTGTCTAGAAGAGGTCTAGATATGACTGTTACTGCACTTGTAAGAACTCAAGTCTCCTTTCGTGGTTTTTTTTCCTTACTTTTCTTTATGTGTATGTGCAAAACCTATTCTGTACCTTGATATTTATGTCCATGTGACTATGTGAAGTCAAATTAATGGAAGACATAAATTGTCTAGGTAAATGTGTTGACATGGGTAATTATGCTTCTAGCCTTCTAGGAAATGAATCAACATGTACTTCCTTGTTCACTCTTTGCAGAAGTGTCTAGTTTCTCATAATATACATTTGATATCAGCTACCAGTCACTGCCATTTTCCATTCTTCCTTTGGTGTTCATGTACCTAATTCTTTTAGAATCATATAGAACACACATGGTTTTGCATATGTTGAGTTGGGGGTAATACTAGTATATTTAACCACCAACAATAATGCTTGTGGTTTACTATCTATGGGACAACAGCAATAAGATTCTGAATTGGTTGGGGTAGGCTAAAAATGAGCCACAATCGAAATTATGTAGAGAGATTTCTTAGAGATCCCGTACATGAATAGCATTCTAATCAAAGGAATGGGAAATTTTCTACGAGTTGAGAAAAGTCGATTGATGAGGATTGAGGACTAGTTTAGAAAAGATTAATTTAATCATTTCCTATTCTCTTAAAACACTTACTTCAATGAATAGTTGCTAATTGTAGTGGTGGATGATGCTACACTCCTAAGCGGTTGATTAAGCGGCCTACACAGTCAAAGTGGTAAGGGGATGCTTAACTTTGAGGCAGTTGTTTAAGTGGTCAGTGCTTTTTAGAACACGCCTCTCCTTTCGTTGATTGAAATATTCTTTTGCCGGATATTCACTGTCTTTCCACTTTTTTTGCAATAGTGACCTAGCGGTAAATATCATACTACACTATTTCAGATTTATTACTCCAAATCAAAGTCTCTGCCATGAGAGAGGAATGTGAAACAAGTTTGTTTTAGGAGAGCTGTCACATGGCTGTGTGCAATCTCATAATCTCCACGCTGTTCTTATTTGGGGGGGGGGGGTTGCTATTCTGTTTCCCAATAGCATTAGCTGTATCATATCCTTAAGCATTTTTCTAGAGAGCTCTATTTTGTGTCTATTGTTTCTGTAATTTTGAAAGGTTAAGGTGTTAAGACTATTAATATGGTCTTATACATTATAAATGGATGCATTTGTAAACAGGTGAATGATAGTGTGGGCACGTTGGCCCTTGGCCATTTTTATGATAAAGACACAGTTGCTGCAGTGGTGATTGGAACTGGTACCAATGCCTGCTATTTGGAGCGGGCTGATGCAGTTATCAAATGTCAAGGCCTTCTCACGACTTCAGGAGGCATGGTATCCTTGATCTTTCTACTAACAACTAATTCGGAGAAGGAAAATGCTTCAATTCACTTATGTAACTTAATGTCAATTAGGTGATCAACATGGAATGGGGTAATTTTTGGTCCTCACACTTGCCTAGAACATCATATGACATTGATTTGGATGCTGAGAGCCAGAACCCCAATGATCAGGTTGATTTTTGTGATTTGAATCTTTACTTTCAGCAGATAATATATCTCCATAAAACCCGTGACTTATACGGGGATTCTGCTACAGGGTTTTGAGAAAATGATATCAGGAATGTATCTAGGTGACATTGTAAGAAGAGTAATCCTCAGGATGTCATTAGAATCTGATGTCTTTGGACCAGTTTCTTCCAAGCTGTTGGCACGGTTCGTCTTGAGGTATGTTTTTTAACTATACTCTTCAACCCCTTATGCAGAGGCTTACATTAGAGAAGTGTAGATGCATCAGTTCGTCAATAGGATTTAATAGAGTTGACAAAAATAGTGTTTAGACTTTATAATTTCAAATGCTTATAGCCAAAAATATTTCTGGCTAGGATTCATGGAATTCAAGAGCATCTTTGGAACCTAGACATGGTTTAGTGGTGCGGTTTCTTTTGGTTTTGTTTACGGAAACACATGCATCTTGGAAATCTTTTTTATGCTTGCTATGGGAAGGCAAGATGCCAAGATGGGATAATCTATATGACTTCTATGCATAGATTTGGTTGAGAAGGAAATAGGGGAAGTAAAGATTTACTTAAACAATAATGAAATTGTCTTCTATTTGGACATGTTTGTGACTGTTTAATTGTAGAGCATGTCATAAATTTGTGAAAGAGATGTGAACAAATTCATTAATAAGTTTGTTACATTAGAAAGGTTGCAATTGCTCACCTTAAAAACCTAAATGTGTATGGTATTTGAATATTAGCTATTGGTCTAAATGCCTTGTGCTAGATGATAAAAACCAAACCTGTATATACAAAGGCAAAAATTTTAACGAGAAGATTGAGAAGACCTCTGGCTTGCCAAGGAAGTTAGTAAAAAAATTAGAAAGCACGACTGTAAGTCTGTAAGCCAGAAAATTGCAAGAAAAAATGGTTTGTTTTGAAAAACACATTTATAAAAGTACAAATAGCCCACTACATGAACTTCTTATTTCTAATGGAAGATAAACAAACATAGTTGAAGCCTCTTGACCTTTCCCCCAACTCTAGTCCTACAAGCAATCAACTACTCCTGTTCGAGGTCATGCCTCAGAAAGTACTAAGGTGCTCTTTGTTTTTAAGAGGTGCTGAAGTCTGAAGTCTTATTTCACTTCTAATTGATAAGAGGTGTGACTGAAGTCTGAAAGCATATAATAAATAAGACTGTTTGTGTTTGTAAACTGATAGATGTCTGAATCTGTATAATTATCTATTTTGCCCTTCAAAATATTATAATGTTGAATTTATATACGTTTATACAATTTTAAGGTTAATCAATTGAGAAAGGACTGATGGAGAAATGTCTGTTGTTGAGGGTTTGGAGAACAATAAGAGGCAAATAAAGGGTCGGTTTACCTCTTACCGGATAAGAGGCCGGAAGACATAAGTATCTTTTGAAAATTTGGAAAAACAAACAGTCTGAATGGCCCTACCTCTTACCGATTGAGACATAAGAGGTTGATAAGAGCTTTTTTTTAAATAAACAAGGCCTAACACTTCCATGGCGAACTTGACTGCTCATCCTACTTCCTCCTCAGCTTGTCTCTCCCCCTTGATCATGATGCTCTCCACCCTTATATTTGGCGTCATATGCGATCTCCTACGAGCATGCCCAAACCACCCGTCTTTCCTCTTAGTTTATTCGAGATTGGAAGAGCTTTTACCTCTGCTCGAAGAACCTCATTCGCTCTTCTATCCAACATAGTTTGACCGTTTGTCTATCTCAACATCCTCATTTCCGCAACTTCCATTTTTATCTCATGTACCTTCTCTATCATCCAACATTCTGACCCGATACAACATAACTAGTCTAATAGCTACCTTGTCGACTTTGCCTTTTAGTTTTAACAGAACCTTTCTATCACACAAATCACAAAACTCATGTGGGTTGCCTTCACTTTAGCCAACATGTCGTTAAGCAATGCACATTGTTCTTCTCAACCTCACCCTCCATCTTAATTATGGATCCCAAATACTTGTACTCACTCCTTGTCACTCTCAGTCTCTATTGAAATTGCATCAAATATATTCCATCACTCTCAGTCTCACTCCTTGTCACTCTCAGTCTCTAGAAGGTTCCGGAAGGGTTAGTTTGGACGCTTAGCGTATGTGAAGGGATGGTATGAGTTGAGCGGGAAACCGGGGAGAAGGCCCTTGCCTCTCGAAAGCCTGTGGATATTGCAATCATTCAGCCAAATTAAAGTAATCCAACTGATTTACCATGAGTGTACATCAGGGCCTCTACCTCCTTGCTAATTCCTTAGCAAAAACAATAACTACGATACTTATCTTGCCCTTGTACTTCGTCCGTGCCATTCTCCCTTTCTGACGCCTCATTAAATAACATGTGAAAGTAATTACCCCATCTCCTCTTAATGTGCTCGCTTGTCAAAAGAACCCGTCCGTCTACATCTTTACTACACCTTAGATTCCCTTTGTCTCCACGCCTTTTTTCTTGGCCCTTGCCAGTTTATATATTCCCTTCTCCCCCTTGGCACTTATGGGTGAAGATGAAAATAGTTAAGATGTGTATGGGCACACTCACGTGGACTGAAAAAGTAGATAGTGCATACTTCATAGTTCATGGCTCAAGTTTTTACAGGAAAACCTAATGTAAGTTTCTTCTTCCCTATGAAGCGTCCTTTTGCTTCTTGGGAAGTTTATTCTTTCCGTATTAGAAGTGTTTCATTGGTTTCATTCGTAGGGCCTTAAATCTGTGTAAGTCGGACAATATTTTGAATGTACCTTGCACAAGAGTTTTGTCTAAGTATTGTAGGTTCTACTCGATTCGTTGTGTTAGGTTAATGAGAAGGTGGAAACAACCATATTTGAACTTTGTTTTATGAAGTCAAATTACTGTTTCAATGTAAAGTCAAAGGGGGGCCTTATATGGGCATGAATGAATATTAGGCAACCATCCTATGCAAGGATATTAATGCACATGTTAGAACCTTCCACTTGGGAAACAAATTCAGGGAAAAAATGAATATTGTCACCTTGCTATTGTAAGTGCTTTTGAATAAATAAACTTCTAAGTGGATAGTGAGATATTAAATTGAAGCAATGTTCTTGTTTTTCAACAAAAAATTCAGATGATATGACAAAAAATTCATTTCATTTCCTGTTGTATAATCTTGTTGGAGTCTGAGTCATTGTCTTTTCTACTAATTTTTTCCTTGTTTTGAAATAGATGCTCATGAGGAAAAACAAAATCTTATCTTTTTTCCTTCATTAAGTTGCTATTAATAGGGGGTCATATTTTCCCAATAATAAAAGCCAAGCTTTTGTCCTACTTGCTTTCTTAAACTGGTAAATGGTGGCCCCTCTTTCTCTCTTTCTTCCATTCAGTATATGTAATAAAGCCTTCTTTTTTTGTATTTCTCTTTGAAGAAAAGTGGTGTTTTTTTCCTTTTATAAATGAACATCTTTTTCATCACCCCTTTTAAATCGGTAGGTTGTGGTTGATTCTGATGCTCAGGGCCGACTTTGGTCGAGTGGCTGAATGGTAAATGTGGTCACTCTAATGGATTTCGGGGACGTTTGGTCGAGTGACTGAATGCTAAATGGGTTCGTCCACATTCTTTTATCAAGTACATGTTGTTAACCATAATTTATAGGAGCTTCTACTGAGTTTTGACTTTTGACTATGGTTTCTATTTAATGCCGTGTCAAACCCGAAAGACTAGTTTGATTTTAAGGTCCTGCTCTGTCTTTTTATGGTCCTTTTTGGACTGCGTCTCTGATAACTGTTTTTGGTTCAAAGTTTTATACATAAAATTGATGTGAAATTTTACTTTATTTCTTCAAATTACTCAGTACACCATCAATGGCGGCCATGCATGAAGATTACTCGCCCAACTTGAGTGAAGTTGACAAGATCTTAGAAGAAACCTTGGATGTAAGATGTTTCTTAAGAAGTTCTTTTTATATGTTTGATGGGGTGGGGCAAGTTTCAAATGAGAACCGTAAATATTTTGAGAAACTGAGAACCAACTATTCAGGCTTTTATTCATGGTGAATGTCATGATGGATGTTCATGATGAAAAATATTCATAATGAATTTACATGCTATTCATGGTAGAATGTTTGATATTCATGATTATTCTTGGTTATTCATCCTGAATATATGAAATAGTTGCTTCTTAAATTCTCAAAATATTCATAGTTCTCATTTGAAAAATATTCATAATGAATTTACATGCTATGCTCTAATTCCCCAAACTTTTTGGAGTTTGGTTCACTTGTTCTGATAAAATATGTTTTTTTCCCATCAGATACACGATGTTCCGCTAAAAGTTAGAAAACTGGTTGTCAAAATATGTGATGTGGTGACAAGAAGGGCTGCCCGGTTGGCAGCTGCCGGCATTGTGGGCATTTTGAAGAAGATCGGTCGAGATGGCACAGGGGGAATTACAAGCGGAAGAATCAAAAGCGGAAAAAGTGGTAAAATGAGAAGAACAGTGGTGGCAATGGACGGTGGATTGTACATGAGCTACACGATGTTTAGAGAATACTTAAATGAAGCAGTTGCAGAGATATTAGGGGAAGAAATTGCCCCATATGTGATTCTGAAGGTGATGGAAGATGGATCAGGCATTGGAGCAGCTATGCTGGCTGCATCAAATTCAGCCCAAAGTGTGGATACAGTACAGGTTCTATGAACATATATATATATATTTTTATATATTTATATATATAATGATATATAAATATAGATATATAGGTCCTGTAATTTGTAAATTCCATTGTTCTTTGCTCATATCATATGTATAGAAGGGAAGGTTGTAAATATGTCATATAGCAGTAGATGAAGCTTGTGGCGGTTGGTTGTAGTCTTGGAACCTGTTCATTCATTTCTTAGGGAAATTCGGTTTTAGAATTTGTCATTTGGGTTTTATCGCATCATATTGTTGAAACTTTGTGCATATTTTTATCGTCTTGTGGGGTTTAAATCGTATAAAAAAGGATCCGATTTTTAGTAATGTTCAAACATATACAGAGGTCGGATGGAGTTACCATTGTGGGGCTTCAACATATATCATCTCTTTTGTCTCAAAATAAATTTCTACAATGAAAACTGTATGAAGCGAAATATGTATTCATATAACATCTCCATCTCACAAGTAAAAATGATTTATAATGGTTTTCCAACATGTCTAATTCAGTTTGTGTGCACTTTCGACACACACAATCCATTGATTTGTGGTTTTTATAATAGAACCAAACGTTTTTAGACCAAGCTACATATTTGGTCCCTGTTTGTTGTTTGTAACATTTTTGGTTTCTTATGGTTTTAAAGTTACAGATTCGCTATTGTGGTATGGAAAAATAACCGGATTTGGTCCCTCCCTCTAACGACGGAAATCAGATTCGAGGGAAAAGGGGATGAGTAGGTAAAGATGAAGGTGATGGTTACCACGAGGTGCTCACGAACAAAGAGGGGATGGTGACCGGTGCTCCGATTGACAAAGAAGGAAGGTCGTTAACAAGGAGAACAGTCTGGTCGTCGCTGGGTGGCGGGGGAGATCTTGTTGACGAGCATCATCAGTTCATCACCGTGCTTTGGCCGGCGAGTTGTGGCCGGGAGTTTTAACCCGCGAAGATGTTGGTTCCTGGCTCAAGTCAAGGATTCATATATACATATATTTACAATTTTGTCCCTGGAATTTTAAGTAAATAAATAAATACACACACACATATATATATATATATATATATATATATACTAGAAGCGTACTCGCGCAATGCAGCGAGATACATCGTGATTTTAATATTTCATTTTATTCTTTAT